AGCTTTAAAAAATACATCTGTGGGGTGGCACTGTAGACAGAAATGTATGTCAGAGGGGTCACCCTGCCTTAAGGAGTTATCAGTCCATATAAATTTAATTCAGGCAAGGTTCCAGGGGACTTATAGTGTGCTGTGGTGCACAGAGGCTTTCTCTTTCCTGCCAAAAAGAAAAATATCTGGGGAAAGACTGAGGTCTTGTAACATTTCAGCATAAAAATGAAGTGATGAGGTGCAGTGGTGAGCGTTGTGGCTATTCTCCACCATAGGACTCAGTAAACAGACTAACCCCACAGCATGTTGACATGCTGCTCTTTTTGAAAAAAAGAACATATTTATTGAGATCTAGCAGTAAAAAAATAGATGTCAATAAATGTTTTTTCTGAACATTTGCTGATGATCACAACATGTAGTTAGCACATCTCCGTGTGAGAACAGGTTTAATCTGCCAAAAAATCGAAAAACTCCCTTTGTTGCTCAAAGTAAAAAATACTGTGGAACGGTACCGTTGAGTTTCCCTCCAGCAGCTCATGAGCAGTGATGGGCTTGTCCAGGCTCGGCTTGCCCACGTAGATGTCTCTCTCCTGGGGGAAGGCTGAGAGCAAAGAGAGGAGGGCCTCGGCGTTCACGTAGTTGTCATCATCCACGTGACAAAACCACCTGAAGAGCAGCAGACAAGAATACAGGAAAAACAGAAAGTTTAAAAAACAGTTTAAAATGGGTTTGCTTGTTTTAATGAAGGTTTGTCCTCTGTTTTCAGTCTGCCAGTTGAACCCCGCCAGATGTCAGATCTGAGATTTAAAATGTGATTTTCCCCCATGTTGGTCTTATTCTTGCACAGAATGAATCCAACAACAGCTCCCAAAGAACTGAGAACTATCTGGTCCAGATGATGCATCACAATAAACTCTGACTTATTAAAAATCCAGCATTTCTGGTTGTTGAGTGTTTTTATGTCAACACATGCATTTTTACTTTTACTCTGAAATGCCTTATGCACAAAGACAGGAAGTAGAGCTCAGTCATCAGCCAGAGTTTGAAACTTCAGTGTTTCCAAGTGTATAAGAGTATTTTGTGACAGCTATGTGTCAAAGGTCGAGAATGATATTTGGAATTATTTTACCCAGACTTTGTTAAAAATGATCTGAATCCAAACCCACGGTGTGATTATGTATTTCTGAAACATCACTACAACATTTATTTTATTGTGATATTGCTTGTGTTAGGTTGAAAACTAAATGTCATGCTATGATGGAAAGTTGTGTAAGTGGACTGCAAGCTCAGGAAACAGTTGTCCTCATAAGTTCCACAGTATTTCTCTGTGAGTGATCAAGCTGTTTGACTTGTTCTGCCACCTTAATGACTGGACGTGATGTTAAAGCTTCTTTCCAAACCAAACAGACTTTTTTAGTGCACCATCAGAGTCCAAATGCCAGAGCTGCTGGTACCAGACTGGAGCGTTGTCTTGTTTCCCCTGCCATCAACAAGGGTGCCCGACAACACAAAAGGCTTCCAAACCAAACAGCCTCACTTCCCTCTCTAGGCCAAATAACAAAGTGGGGCTTGGAGCAAAAATAAATGGGTTCCATTTCCTCTCTTAATAGCAAGACAGCAGTCTTGGCCTTAGTCACACACCAAACACAAGCTGTTGAGCTTTTTCACAAATCAAAACGATGACCAAATCTCAACAGCACATTGTCTTGTGTACTGTACGAGAGCCTCAGGGAGCGTCATGAGTTAAATCAGAATCAAACAACTCCAAGTCACGCAGGATGTTTGCTAAAATATATATTTCTTCTACTGTCGTGTTTTTCTGATTCTATCAAACTGATAGCAGTAATTCCCACCTGTGTATGCTAATTGGAGGATTATTTACTTCTCTGAGTTCTCCTCTCACTACCTGCTCTTCCCCACAGTGATCGTTAAAGCTTGTAATCTTAATCCGATCTTTAAATCCGGTTTGGGCAGGATGATACACGAACCTTAATCTGTCTCACCTCTTGTCTGAGGCCATGAAGCTGTCGTACTCAGCAGCCATCTTGCAGGACAGAGCCTGCTGGCTGTGATCTGACTGGCAGCCTGTTACCACCATGTTATACCCTGGAGACACACAAGGAGAACATGCAAAGTGTGAGATAATGAGAAAAAAAGACAACGTGCAGAATAAAGAAAGACAGACACAAAGAAAGAAAAAGCTGGATCTACTTGTAAATACACACCAGACATGGTCAAACGCATCTGGACACTCAAACATATTATATGTGATTACTTAGCATGTCATCCCCAAACCAGGGGCATTAATCGGGGCTGGTATAAGAGCCTCTCGTGTTCTGTTACGGCACTCCACAAGGTTTTAGAGCCTGGCTGCAAGCATTTGCTCTCATTAAGCCACAAGAGTATTTGTGAGGTTGGCCACCAATGTTGGAAAATAACATCTGGCTTGCTGTCTGCATTTAAAGTGACCATTTGGTAAATCCCCATGAAGGAAAGCATAAGTTAGCCAATGTTACTTGGCACACCACACAGGCCTGTCACGCATAAACTGAAGCAGTGTACATGGAAGATTGTTTATTTTTTTAGCATTAGTAAATTCAGTTTTCCTACATTTCCAAATCCATAAGCACAAGAACAAAGAGAAAAGAATGTCTTAAATGGCGTACTTCTCTGTTCTGACATAAATTGCAAATGATATGATGCTATACATGTGACATCAGTAACCTCAACTTTGTGAGCATATCGTTAGCCAACTATTTTTGGATGTTGTATTATATAGAAGTATACTAAACTACATTAGATATCGTTAATGACTCAGTGCTATTCTTGGGGAAGTTTACACTCCAGTAATCCAAGAAACCTCCCCCCAGATAGCATTCTTTGACCAAAAAAACAGCCTTATCTCTAAAGCCTTGCAGAGGTGAGGCGTTTTGTTTAAGAATACAAATCTAACTTCTGTGTTCACTGTCGTAAGAATAAGCCAGGTAGCCAAACATGACTATGTTTCAATGAAATAGCCTTTTAATTCAGGTGTGATTTCAATGGCTGTACTGTGCACTTCAATAATAATGCTGCTTACATGTCCTCCATAATGAACTCATGAAGGCTTTTTACCGAAAACATGTAGCTTTAGCTCTTTTAACACATTATTATGCATGTAGCCATGTCATTGAAGTGTGCATTTAAGAAATGCTCAGGCTATCCGCAGCAGTCTTCTCAATCACCTCATAGAGTTAGCATTAGCTAACTACAGCTGATAACATCCACAAGCAGCACCTGCCATTCGAGCAGCCAGCCATGGCTAAAAATGAGAACATGCTTATTCTTGTTTTTTGCTTCAATAAAGGTTTTGAGTAGTGGAGGAAAGCTTGATAGATGCAGCAACAGTAGGCTAGAGTTGGGCTTTGTAAACAGTCAGTTAACCCTAAAGGCGGTTAGGTCTCTGTGTAGGTCAGTCATGTTCTTCTACACCAAAGTGGGGAAACTATTTCTTTATAGACCTTGCTTTGTGCACAGGGCCATTGTCAAATTCAAACAGTGAAGAGACTTCCCCAAACTGATGCCACAATACTGAGCCTTAGATCACCAAATTGTAGTGTCCATATACTTTTGGCCATGCAATATACAGAGCCTAATTTCAATCTGAATTTGACATTCTGTGTGTAAAATTCATTCAGTATAGCTGCTTACCTTCTGAACATAAGCCCTCATCCTCTGTGTCTGTGAAAATGAATGTCTAGAAACAGAAAAACAAAGAAAAACAAAGGGATTTAAACACACCGGCTTTGATTCGATGCTTCATCTGAACATCTGTAACAAATCATCCTGAAAGCAGCTTCATTAGGGAGTAGACACACAAACTCACTCACACACTCATGGGATCAATAATGTTTCGAAGTGAGCAAATGTGAAGCGACAAAAACAAGGTTCCCCACTGTGAAGTAAAACAATGAGTCATTGCACACAGACACACACTAAAACACACATACATTTATGGTCCAAAGTGGTCAGACGAGCACTGTATGGCCAAGTCAATTTGTTCTTTGGCAGATATATGAGTCAAATAAGTTTTGAATCACACATGCTCACAAACTGTACACCTTGGTGTGACTTCTTTCACACACCCCACTCACAGTGTTCAACCAGATACACAGACACTACAACACTGACATCCGCTGGTGGAAACCTGTAAAAACACCACCACGGATCCTCACAAGCAGCAGGTTTCCATTTATGTTACTGTTTTCTTAGGAATTTTCATTTAATCTTTACTGTAAATTAATGTAAAATATACATTCTTCTGTCTCCGTTGCTTTTTTTTTTTTTTTTTTTTTTGCACCTTGACATGCACTGAAACTGTTCTGATGGTGGCCTGGTACCTCACTGAGACACTTTATTTTGGTTTTTCCTTTCATTGTCACCCATTTATTTATTATGCATGATTCCTTGAAACTGGGGGAGGTTGGAACAGGGGATTTGAACAGGCAACGCTTCCATCACACTCCATCTCTGCTGGCCCTTGGGATGAAGTGTGCAGCATGTACTGTGCCAGGCAGGCACTAAATAAACTCAGAAAAGACCAAATCACCTGATAAAGAAGATGAACACAAAAAATAATTCATGTTTTATTCATTAACCAGAGTAAAAGTCATTGCATCAATCACATTACTTACATAGATTTAAAATTCAATCAGATCAAGAACCTTAAGCTTGCAAAGCCATATAGAATAAAACATACATAAAAAATACAGAGAAAACATACAGTACATATGCTAGTATTATTAATGAAATTGAAATGACAATAATAAAGGGCAGATGTGCCTTATCGCAGGAAGAGGAATGTATGTGCATGTGTGGGTGCAGTTTAACAATAGTAAAGTGCTGTGATCCAGCAGAAATAGATATACAGTCTGTTGTACGGAGACTAATCTGGAACATTCTTAATGTAAAAGTCACGGAGTAACTCCAATTCATACAATTCACTGTTTCAATATATCAAGGGATCAGCTTATGTGGCTTTTACATGACTTCAGCTTAAGGAAAACTATCACAAATGTATTCATTAATTCAGGGAGGAATAAAAGCTAACTGGGACAAAAGTGAAGCTTGTTGGAAGTGTTGGAGTTTACTGGGTGAGCAACACACTGCTTCTTCAGTGAGTGTCCCCCACATCTCAAAAACAAATAATAAGCTAGTGTATAGGTTGTTAAGGTTCTGCACAGACAGAGAGGTTTGCACATGGTGATGCTGGTGTGTTTAAAAACAGGTTTGATTATTACAGACTTGATAAAGAATTTTAAAAAGTTTTCAGTGGTGTTATAAAGATGTGCTGTAGATAATGAACTGACCCTCGGCAGTGTGTTGAGTTCACTTGGATTCTGTGACTCTTGAGTCAAACATTGTTTTTTTTATCCTGTTTAATACTGTTATTTACCATGTTTATTGATTTTAAATATTCCTGTCTTTCCATTTTCCTCCATCTCTTCCTTGTAGGCAGCTTCTAAATTTTCACTTCAGTCGTTTTAATAGCGATTAATCTCTGCTCTCACTTCCTTTTGCTTTCAAAGGCCCTTTTTAAAACTTTGTCCATCCCTCCTTCTCATGCATCACTCAAGCAGGAGGAGGGTGAATAAAGAGCTTCCTGGATGAATCCTCCTCACCACTATCACCATGATAAACACCACCACATACCAGTAAAACCCCATGAAAAATAGTCACCTTCACAATTAGTTTCCTCCTCCTCCTCCTGTCATAACTCAAACTAAACTCCCTGCGCTGAAGGCAGTCGACCTGGGCTGAGGAACACAACTGGCAGACTGTGGGCTTGCACTGGCTTGTAAATAGAGTTTGAGAGGATGTTTCACTGAGTTTGGACAGCACCTCACAAATCACAGCTTGTTTTTCACACAGTTAAAGGGCCATTAAGTAGATTTGTATTGCCCCATAGCACAAAATGACTGTAATATATCTCAGTAGGGTTTTTGATCAGTTGTTTAGTGATGTCTTGACTGTGAGGTGGTGAATCTGACTTTCCAGTCTGGCATTTAGAGCCATGTTCCACTGTCACTACTGTGCCTCAAGGAGGCTGAGGGTCAGCTCAGACAGTCAGAGGGCCCTGTGTTGCAATAAATGCATGATGTGCAGCGTGAGTAGCGCATCTGTGTTTCCTAATTTCCTATCTGCGTAATCACAGTTTTCACGACATGTGCACCATGTTGCCTTTTCACCGAGCAGCGGTCTGGGGACTTCATACCGGCAGGTGTGTCCTGATGAAGATGCAGTGTGTCCGGGTCAGTTTTGGGCACGTTGGTAATATGAGGGCGCACAAAGTGACTGCACCACTGACCAGCAAAAACCAGGTCTGTGGTCAACAGTCAAATCATCATTGTTAATTAATGGGCCCCGTGCTGTGATGCACACCTGTCTAGGTGCATGCACAATGCTTATGCACTGTACTTGTTATACCCTGTTATACCACGTCAAAGTTTTCATTCATCTGTAAAATATAGGATAATCACCTTTATTGGCTAAGTATGTTACACACAAGAAATTTATTTCCGGTACAGAATCGAGGCAGCCATCTCAACAGATGACTTTAACCATCACGAGGAAATATCTCTTACAATTTTGTCCAGACCTTCATGGTTCCTATATGATAAATCCTAATGATGTTGGTGATCTACATTTACCTCTCCGAAGATGGAATATAAATTCATTATCAGTAATTTAAAAAGGACAGAAATGTCTGTATTTTTTGCACATGTTGAAAAAGGCAACAATAACAAAACATAAAAACAGTTGTTGGCTCTTCTTACAAATGCACAATAGAGACTGTGTTAACATATGCCGTCACAGTCTGGTATAATAGCTGCACAGCTGCAGATAAAAAGTCCCTGCAGAACATTGTTAAATCAGCTCAGAAAATCATGAGCACTCCACTACTCCCCCTGGAGGATATCTGCAGTAACTGCTGTCTGAAAACACAACATAGCAAAGGGTCCTACTGTTACCCATCATCTGTTTACACGTCTGGCCTCTGGACGGTGTTGTCTGACAATAAAGGCCCACACAACCAGACTGAGGACTGGTTTTTATCTTCCATGAGTGATTGTTGTCCTGACTTGTTTTGTCACTAAAGCTATAATATGGAACTAATTGCTGCTTAAAATTTTAATTGATATTTCTTTTTTAGACTTATTTACTGGTGTTTGTCTATTTATTTGTATTTCCATTTGTGAGCATTGTACCACTGAGAGAGTTGAAATTGCAATTCTGTTGTGTGTTTTACTGGTCACTTTTTCTCTACCGCCACAATTAGAGGGAAAATTCAGTTTGTCTAAAACTTTGCTTGATGACCAAAAACTAAAGACGTTTCCATGAGCCTCAGCTGTATTTTGTAGGGTAAGTCTCCTGGAAGTGAATGTAAGTCTATGTGTGAACTGTGAAAGTGATGACTGTGAGAGTGATGTCTGTAAGAATGTGTGTGTGTGTGTGTGTGTGTGTGTGTGTGTGTGTGTGTGTGTTGAAGGTGAGAGAGGTTCACTCTGTTCTGCAATCTGCCGCTCCACTTCCTGTTCTATGACCAGCTTCCGTTTCAGTATTGTTCACAGAGTCTCAACACTGTAGCTGTTTCCCCTCGGCCCAGACAGCCTGCCTGCACAGCTTCCTGTGTGTGTATGTATGTGTTTTCTTGTATTGCCACATCTAGACATTACCGTTGTGTGTCTGTGCCTATACCGCATACAAGTCTGTTTTGATTTGGGTGTGATGTATGTGTATTCTTAAATCCATATAGGCCAAAGTGATGACATGACAAGCTTGTGAGAAAGAGGAAGATACCCTCAGTATCTTCCTCTTTTTAAAATAGCACTTCTTATTTAAAGCACCACTTCTTTGAAAACTCTTTCTGTATTGTGACATAGAAAACAAGAAGCTCAAAGATGAATGCTTCCTCTCAAGATCCCTGCTCATGTGTTTCACAAAAGGAAACAAGCAGTTTCATGAACCTTAACAAGGAATTAAATAAAATCAAGTGTAATTATCACGTTCCTTTGAAAGACACACTAGTTGCAATTTGCAGTCGATACATATGTATTTTATTCTCCTGGTGACATCTACTGTTCATTACCAGAGGAGACCTGTGCTGTGTCTGTGTATTTGCACAGGCAGTCGTGTATGTCAGCGAGAATCCCTGAGGCACACAACCATCTCCGAATCCTTACATGCATTGTTCCTGAAGACGAACTCAGCAGCAGCCGGGTTGGACAAACCAAGCCTCGACAGATTATGGAGGCTGAGCTCTGAGATAAACAAGTGTTCCTGGTGAACTGTTATATGTTAGGGCAACCGGAGTTGGAAAAGCTTTCCTTAGAAGACAGTGAGAGGATGTGTAAAATGTGGGCCAACATACAGTGCATGTGTGTAAGAGAGAGAGAATTTGACTGACATCTTTCAGACTTGCTTTGGCAATATATTTTGTATTGCATGCCAATAAAGCATCTTTGAACTGATCTGCAGTGGAGGTTAAAGAGAATATGAGAACTTTTGTGTGATTAAACAAATCTGGTGCCAGAAAGCTTAAACTGAGGCCATGTCACTCTGAACGATGCAGTTTCAAAGCAGTGAGGAAGTGATTCTTATCATTTCATCATTAGGCCTACAGCACGTTTTCTGGCAGGCCTAATGGTGAGTCAGATGATTGATCATTTTATTTAAAGAAATGTGTGAAATCGTTTGTTGAAAGTGGAGTTCCAGCCTCAACCTCTAACCTTGGATATGAGCATAATATTATACGTGAGGTTTGCTTTGATTAAGACATATGAACAAAGCCTGTGTAACTTCTAGATGAGGCTGAGACTGCACCTTCTCTCTGAACATCTCCTGTTCACACGGATATCGACAGTCTATCATGGTACATTACAAAAACGCGTTTGTTAGAGCTTCTGGTGGAGTTTCGCTGCACAGCAGTCGAGTGTCTAAAACAGCAGCTGACAACAGAGACTCACATGTGCCTTGGTTCTGGAGATCCACGTCTCCAAAAGGAGCGCAAGACGCGTCTTATGGAACCTCCCAGTGGTCTTCACAGCGATGAAGATGTCCTCCTGCTTTAGTTTCGCCTGGGTGACGCGTGCACCATGCGCGGCTGGGTCTCCTCCGTGCCCGTCGGTAATCTGTCTGTTGCCACTGGTGCAGCTGTTTCTAGCTGGGATCTGTGCGTGCTTGGGCGAGGAGGGCGCCTGTTGGATGGTGTGGTGGACCGCACCGGGTGACGGATGGTGGCCCGCGCTGAGTTTGGGGTGGCTGTTAGTGTGTAAATGGAAATCCACATATAGAATGATGAAGAAGGTGAAAATCAAGACAGGCAGCCTCCGTCGGATCCACCTCTTATTCATGGTAGAAGAAAAAGTTATTTAGATTCCACAGCGCATTAAATATTGAGTTCTTGGTTCCCTCATTTCTTTGTTTTGGTAGAAATTCGTTTCCCCATCACCTCCTCGTCTTCCGTCTTTATGTCCCAACCTTATCATCGATGCGCCTCATTAATTAGCAGATACCTTTCCTGACTGTAGATCATTTATCAGAATCATTTTAATCATAAACCTGATCAACTTTTAGAAATGTAACCGTTTTGAATGCGGGGGCATGACATGATCGATTTCCTCCCCTTCTCTGCATAAAAGTCCTGCCAGATGTATTTGACTTTGTCACATTCGCAGCTCAACCCACCCACTTGCCACTATAGTGCCAAACTAGATCTAATGAGATCATGGGACTTCCTGGCAGAGATTTCAAAATAAAACACAACAACGAGAAATAACCTCCTTCCTGTTACAGTCTCATTTCCTCTGAGAATAGTAGGTTCAACATGAATCACATAATATGGGATGAAATTACTCATCGTGATATTTTCCACTTAATACGTTTAAATAGGCTTAACTGGCTTAATCTCTCAAATGTAAATGTACATATAAAGATAAATGACAGAAAGGAAATATTTATAAAATGTATGATTTGTATTATTGATAATGTGAAGTGGCTCTATTCAGTTTAAATCTGAAATACACCGTGGTGTGTTTACTGTGTTGGGCCAGTTGTTCTCTTTTCTGTGTGTTTGAATGACGATGTTTTTCAGCAAACAGCTGAAACAAAGAACTAGGATTATTTACTGAAGCACATCAGTTATATCTTTAGACTTTACAGCCATGACGGGGTTTTCAAGCAGTGGTCTGCGGGCCTCTGGTCATGCCATCATATAGGAAGTGAACTTTGAACTGAGATTGTTTTGTCAGCTGCTGTTTCTACAGCCACAAATTAACCATCAAAGTCAGAAGCTGCAATGTGGATTACCTATATTTATATATTTATGTTCCATAAATAAATATAATCTATTTCTATTAAGTGTTTGGATGCAATGTGATGACATCAGGTCAACATTCAGGGTCCCCAGCGAAGGAATCCTACACACTTTGATGATCAAATAAAGCCCTGTAATCTTTAGCATATCTATAAAGGTTTCATTAAAGAGTGCATATGTTGTAATTCAGTTAAAAGTCATTTGTTTGTTAAAAAAAACTTTGTTTTTGAATCATTTTTCAAAAACTAAAAGGACAAATATGGGAATTTTGGAAATCAAACAAATAAGAATACAAGTAGGGAGGTGGCCGGTCTGGTGTCATGATGCAAGGACAATAATCTCAGCCTCAACACGGACAAGACGAAGGAGATGATGGTGGACATGAGGAAGGAGAGGAGATCTCATCGGCCACTGTTCATCCGGGGGCTTGAAGTGGAGAGGGTGAGCAGCTTCAAATACCTGGGTGTCCACATCAGTGAGGACCTCACTTGGACACATAACACCACACAGCTTGTCAAGAAGGCCCAACAGTGGCTGTACTTCCTGAGGAGGCTTGGCATGTCACCTAGGATCCTTTGCAACTTCTACAGCTGCATCGTCAAGAGCATCTTGACCAGCTGCATCACCGTCGGGT